GTAGAACTGCCTCACGGGCCTTTTCGCTCATTTCTTCCCTGTCTTCCATCCACTGTCCATCCACCATCTGTCTGCCGTTGCCATTCTTCAATTCGTCTTGGCGCTTTTCAGCCATCTCCACCACGGCCTGCCAGCGGCGTTGGCGTTCCTCCTTCTCTTTCTTGTCCATCTCTGGCTTGACAGCGAGGTATTCCGCGAGAGCCTTTGCCTCATTGACAGTGCGCAGTCTGCGGCCATCGAGGTTGCGACTGGAGCCATTGTTGTCGCCTTGATTGCGCTTGCGCTTGCTGGACATGCGGCCACCAGCAGCACGCAGTTGGGAGCCAAAACCACCTTTACCACCGCAGGTGGGGGCAGTCAGGCGCAGAGGAAGAAGTGTAGAGGTAAAGACGCCATCGCGGATCGGGAGGAGAGATAGGATAGATTCGGAGGTGGCCGTGAGGTGTTTGTTATTTGTTGTAGTAAGGACGAGTGACTGAAGAGAGAGTGATGACGGGAGGTATGACGCGATCTTGGCCGTCAGGTCTGATGTGTTCGCTGTCGATGGCAAGGTGAAGGAAAGTGTCGCCGGCAGCGACAGTCCTGGAAAGGACGACAATAGGACGTTGACATTTGAGGGAGCCATGTTGGAAGTATGTCAGAAGCAGTTTCCAAGAAGACAATAGGAGTTTGTGACTGGCGAGTTGTGTTTGTTTCGAAGAACAAAGTACTGTTATAGGCTCAAAGATGTTGCGATAAGATCGAGGATCGCGTGGTCGCCGCAGTCATGATGACTCATCATTACCTATTAATCATCAAGCTTGGTGGTGCCTCTCACGTGAGAGCAACATTATGTTATGGGGCCTATCATGTGACCCGAACCACAAATTGATTAGGGTGCTAACCCTACACCCGATTCGGACCGTCGCACTTTTCTCGCTGCGAAGCTCCACTCTTCATCCATCATTTAAATCAACTATTATTTTCGGGCGTTGTCAAAGCGATTCCCCGACTTGCACCAGGAACTCGCGACAATGTACGTATCCTCGTTTCTGCGATTAATTCCGACAGATTCACTAACAATGGCACAGGCTTATCCCCAAGGACGACCGCAAGAAGATCCACGAGTACCTCTTCCGTGGTATGTAACGAGAACCCTCGTCGGCGTCCCCGCGACTTTGCGACGATACGATCGAGTCATCTGTGTGCGGATTCACTAACCTATATTCTAGAGGGAGTGCTCGTGGCCAAGAAGGACTTCAACCTTCCCAAGCACGGTGACATTGACACCAAGAACCTCTATGTCATCAAGGCCCTCCAGTCCCTGGACTCCCGTGGCTTTGTCAAGACTCAGTTCTCGTGGCAGTACTACTACTACACCCTCACCCCCGAGGTACGATTCATCCACATCTAACACGTCCGCATGTTCGAATACTAATCGAATAACAGGGTCTGGACTACCTCCGTGAGTGGCTCCACCTCCCCGCTGAGGTTGTCCCCGCCACCCACATCAAGCAGCAGCGTTCCCACGCTCCCCCCCGCGGCATGATGGGCGGTGAGGAGCAGCGCGGTGAGCGTCGCGGTCCCCGTGAGGGTGGCCGTGGTGGCCGCGAGGGTGGTTACCGCCGTCGCGAGGAGGGTGGAAAGGAGGGCGGTGCCCCCGGCGAGTTCGCTCCCTCTTTCCGCGGTGGCTTCGGCCGTGGCCGTGGTGCCGCTCCCCAGGAGTAAATGCTGAGAGGCATTGGTGTCCTGTCAACCACTTCTCGGTCAATCTAGAGTCTTGATGGTGTATCCGAATTCGGCTGCCGGACTAGGGTTTACTTGAAACGGGCCTTACCCTCGGTGCACCTAATCTCGTTCCAGCCTTACTGGGACTTGTGGGGATACAGGAAACAAAATAAAAAGAAGAAATTTATGTTTCCACTGTTTTCATGATGTAGATTGATACAATGATGTAGATTCATGTGGATTGATGTATATTGATTCAATGGGTAAATTCATGTCCTGGATGAAATTGATATTCGTAATCTTCGTGTTCGTCTCCCAGCCTTCTTGGCTAGTCGACTTGTCTGCATGCTAAGATATATGCTTGTTCTGGTCTATATACAAGGCCTTGCTGTCAGGCTAAAGAGAGCACCTGTCCTTACAAGAATCTCTTCCGGTCATAGCGGACCACAGCCTGCAAAATAACAGATGCTCCAGTGGTGCAATCATCGGCAGTGGAGAACTCCTCAGGGTGGTGACTGAGACCATCCTTGCATGGGATAAAGATCATGCTCGTTGGGACACGTTTGGAGGTGAAGACACTGTCATGACCAGCGCCACTCATAATAGTCCGCACAAGTGACTTCGTATCCGCAACAGAAGCATCTGAAACCACAGCCTGAGCTGACTGCTGCACGCAATCGATGCAATCCTCATGGAACTTGACAGCCGGCGAGTCGAAGTCGAGAGTCCATTCGACGCGACAAGGCTTACCAATACCAGCACCCTCAGCGGCAGCAATGGCATCGAAGTCAGTGCGCAGCTGCTTCTCGACTTCGACAACTAGCTCTGTCTCAGGGCCCCGGATGTCCAAGCTAAAGCTCACCTCTCCAGGAACTGTGTTCACACTACCGGGCTTTGCCTCGATAATGCCAACACTGGCCAGACAACCCTTCGAAGCTGCCACTTCGCGTGCTCGTACCATCATTTGGGCGAACGCATAGAGGGCGTCTGCCCGATGTTCAAAGGCGGTGGTTCCTGTGTGTGTATCTCGACCGATGACGTTAAGACGGAACCATTTGTAGGCCTGCACGGCTGTCACAACTCCGACTCGCTGGTTTGCTGACACCAGGTATGGGCCTTGCTCAATGTGAACTTCGAAATGGGCGGCCATCGGGGTCGATTTGTATGAGCATGGGACATCACCCAAGTATCCGATCTTCTGTAGGGCACTCTTCATGGTCTCTGGTGCTGATGCCGCTGTTGGCAGCGATGCCACAGTTGGCACCTCTTTGAGATTATGCGCATGTTCTAATGGGATACACTCGGCCCATACACCACTCGAGATCATGCTGATTGGGAATCGGGCGCCCTCCTCGCTGGAAACGGTCAGTGATATTTTCTTTTTTCCAAGTTGAGGGTTGAGATCTTACTTGGTCCAGTCGACAACTCCGACTCCGCCCTCTGTCTCCAGACCCATATCGTTCATGGTCTTGATGACTTCGATACCTGCCAACACGCCCAGAATACCATCGTACCGCCCACCAGTCGGTTGTGTATCGAGATGACTTCCAATGAATGTGGCAGGTACATCCGCTCTGCGACCAGGACGAACAGCAAAGATATTACCCATCTCGTCCACGGTGACGTTACACTTGAGATCTTTCATGGTCTGAATAAACCAATCACGGACACCCTTATCATCTTCTGAAAGCGCCAGGCGCTGCATGCCAGTGTCTGTAGGTCCACTATTAATCGCCAAGACTTTTTGTTAGTCGTCGTTCTCTAGCAACCCTGGAAAGAAAGAATGTAACTTACTCTCCCCATCTGATCCCAGATCCCCATTGACATGAGTGGTGAAGATCGTTGGCCAGCCGTTCCTTATTGGCTCTGAGGGCAGAGACCTCAGTCTCTGAGAGCTCCGTCGTCAACATAGCTTGTATTTGTGATGAATACTTTCGAGTGGGGTATAAAGAGACAGGCTTGGAAGATTGAAGGCAACGTTCTGAGAGTTAAAAAGTGAGAACACGCCATGATGTGCCGTCCTATCGCTTTATAAAGGAAAGCTGGAGCGTTGGAGTATAGCCATTGATAAGAAGTGGAGTGGGCGGACAGAAGTCCGCAGTCCGCGATAGTCCCCGGTTTACTTCCAACCCCCGCAATATGGAGTCGCCATGTTACTTCTCCAATTAGGGTATTTACTACTTTGAAGTGACACATATATGCTTTAATATTAATGTTTCTTTTGTTTAGATCCGAATCCCCGTAAACCTCACATATATTCGAGTTGCCAGCGTGAATATCGTGGACTGTATACTCAGTTTCAGCCTGTTTTTCCCCTATTGAAGTATCAAACATAGTGACCCCATACTTGTTGGAGTCGCCATCTTTGGTGTTGGGGTTAATCGGAATTCCATTCTTGGAGTTCGCCGGTTATGTCTCACAAGAGTAGACGGCCGCCTATGCGGCCGTGTGATGTCTTTTTAGTAGTCTGTTTTTGTGGTCTCAGATATTCTGTTTATAACATAGATCTGTTTAAGATATGTTCTCCCCCTTCTCGATTTTATGGGTAGATGGCAGAGAAAGGTGGAAACAAAAGCATACTTTATGCAAGCAACTTTTCTAGGTACAACCTGGGATGTTCAGGCAAAGCTACTATGATAACTATGAAAACATATATGTGGTACCCAACATGAGGATGTACATACTTGTGCACATATAAAAAATAATCTAGGTGACGGTAAAACTGCCGCCTCAGGAATGATCGGCTCGTGGAGCATAGGGTAAGTACGAAGGCGCATAGCGCTCAGGGTCGTATACACCCATTCGATGCTCTGATGGCCGAGTTTGGCCTAAATATAGACCACCCCTCTTACACCTCTTCATACGATATATTGTAAATCATTAATCCATTCCGAGAGCGAAGGATCTATGACCCTTCTCTCACTTTTCTCTCACCTTTACTTCACTTTTACTTCACAGTTGTGTCATTGTCAAAAGTATATATCTTTCACTACATAACCCGTAGCAGAAATTCTGGCGACAGGCTACAGGATTAGACCTAAACCTTCAGGCTAGATAAAAAAATGAGTGCATACGACCCTGAGAGCTATGCCCCTTCGTACCGGTGGGATTCAGAAAAAGCCTATAACTAATCTGAACCCTAACCTATAAGGAATGGTAGAGTCCACTTCGCATCTCCCTCCCTTTGCATGAGAGCTTTGACTAATCCACTTTTACTATAGAGTCACAACCAGATCGCCTACCATAATTCAGTTGGGGATAAGGAAAACCCTCTTGGCGCCTGTGTGGAAAAAATGGTCAAGGAGGTGCCATTGCTGCAATACGATGCTGAGCAGAGAATAGCTGCCAACGAAGGCAGCTTCGGCTTTCTTGCGGAAATGCGTGGCATTCGTGCAGAGATGGTAAAAATGAACGATAAGATCAGGAAACTCGAATCTCATCGCCAGAGCTATCTGGATATCCTTCAAAGGACCATTTCCACATGGGTGCGAGATGCGCTGAACAAGGACACAGAATACCGGAAGAAGTAAATCCGCAGACTGAATAAGGATGTTATCCACGGCGGTGATGTGCGATCCGATGCCATGGTAGTCACTGGGCGCTACCAGAAAAGCAGCACCGAATGGCAATCTTTTCCGTACGCTATATGGCCTTACACCGAATAATGTGAATAATCTCGGTATTGTCCACAAATTCCCTTGATACTCTTCTTATCGCTAATATATTCTAGATCAACAGAAGTGCTGTGGATCTCTGCAGACCTTAGATAGAGCAGCTTCTATCCTGTCTAAGAACGCTCGGATAAGCCTCCCTACTGAGGCGATGGGAAATAAACGCGAGGATCTTATCGCTATGCTACTGGAGGAGAGATATGAAGAGGCTGAGAAGATGAGCAGCACTTTTCTTTGTGGGAACGAATCGTCTGTGAAGAGTAGTTCTAGTCCTGCCAAAAAGCTAGATATGGCTATCCAATTAATCGATTTGTAAGAAACGATCATCTTATGATCACTTATAGACCAAAGATCTCTTTACGTATTGAGACAGTTGACTTGAGTACGGTCTAGCGACTAGTAGAAGGACCTTTCCTGTTTTGGATTTGGCGGTTATAATCGGATAACACAAAAGACGAGACATGACGACATCCCTGATTGTCTACCCTGAGTGCCCTGAGTGAAGGGCGAGCAGATCTCTAAGCAACTATGAGTTCTCAGCGAGCATACGGAATAATGGGCCGAAACATATCACGTGTGAGGTCGATGACTATGATTCGGTAAAAAGGACGCTTGAAATTGGAAGAGTAGCCGGTCTTATCACCAAATTTACGGTTACCTAGCATTGTAGTGCAATTTAACTGTAGTTTGTCCTGATTTTGAGCTTATCTCGCTAACAATGGATCTCCTGCGATTCATGTAATACATATACAGTTTGTCCGTTTGTACACGAAGAGCAAATGGTAGAGCGTATAGAAAGGCGTGGGGACAAAACCCAGTCCGACTCGTTTGCTCGTGCTCGTCTCCCTTTCCTCTTTTTCCAGTTTTATTCTCTCTTTCACCTTTCCACTTCCCACATTCGGCAGGCAGCAACCAAATTTCATTAACAATTTGGCTGGAGTCCATATGCTGACTACTAGTTGGGGAGTTTGTCGAGGCTGAATTCATTGCTGAATGGGACTAAAAATGATCTGCCATGTCGAGAACCCTTTGATAGCGGTTTTCAATCCTCCGAATGGGATACTCTGTGTGCCCACCACACATGTTGCCATTGGACTGAAACGTCAAAAGAGTCGCCTTACTGTAAGTATCATTACTTTTTCGAATATAGCACCTTCTATTGACGATGTTTGCTAAATAGATATGCTCCACTATGCGTCGTCTGTCATTTCGTGTCCTGTTACATCTGCGGAACCTGCCAGCAAGCTCCAACTCCCCGTGAACTAAAAGCAAGACTTTCTCCAACAAGACTGGCGAAACAAATAGTGGGGTACATCCGGGGTGCCTTCACGGACCACTTGCACACTGGAGTTTGGGACTATGTCTGCTGTCGCCTTGCGACCAAACTTGTCTCCGGGGGCTATCACATCTCGATATGAATAGGATCTGATTTACTACACTTATTCTGGTGTCAACCAAGACAATGTGGCATTCAATTTTTGGATACTTGGCTCAGTCCTGATATCCGGGCTTTGCTGGGTGGGCTTTTCGGTGGGCTCCAAGGTCGAGTACATAGGCATCATGGGATGTTTCCAAGTCCATGACACCGTGAATGAGCTGAGACCAAGATCAAGATTTCTGTTCTGTCATCAAATGAGCAGGCGGGCTTTGTGCTCTCTTCATGTGCAAGATATGGCCTGCTCAGGTAATGACAGAATACATACAAAAATATCAGAAATAAAACATCCATAGCCTTAGATTATCTTATCCTGATTTGTTATGGGGATAATTACACGAGGACCATTTACATACGTAAGTCGCCAGCCTTTAATATCTACTAGTTCTAATAGGTGCGAATGAGATTCATACATTGGAATATAAAAAAGATTACACTTTGGGAACGAGTTGCTAGAAGAGGCCTGATAACGCATTTTACCAAATGACTGCGATGCTGTTTTGACAAAAAAGAACCCACCCATGGCCAGGGCAGTCTTCAAAGGTGATAAACCTCAATCGTGTGGCAGTTTGGCCCTAACTAACCTCTGCTTTGAGCAAAATGTCTTCATAGGTTTCTACATAAGTTTTGATTATGATCTAGAAGTGACAGGGAGTAGAGGATGCTAGAGATTTAAAAAAAGAGTGGGGGGAAAAGGATGAACAAATCCAGCAGAGGAATAGCGAACATCAATCAGCCTGCGACTTGCGGTCTCAGGATACGAGCCCATGTGGGGTGACCTAATTAGGTAGTCTAGAGCAGGCATGGCTCATGACCGAGCTACCAAATAGACTACCTCGGGTTTGCTGATTACTACTACACTGAATTTGATATTTAACCAACACCCTCACTCCATCCCCCATCCCACTTCCCGTAGTTCTGATTTTAGTAACTCCTTGCATGTAGGTTTGTACATAAGGTTTCTCTTCATTTTCAATCACTGTAGTGACGGAGACTCTCCCTTATCAGCACCGCTTTCTATCTATACGTTAAGCCCAGTTCATACATTTAATCAAATTTCGTACCTTTTGATAACGGTCCTCTACCTTTCCCTCTGCTCAAGGGTTGGTTATGTATCTTTGGTGACTCTTCCATATGGCCTTGTGACAAGTCCTTGTACACACGTGAATAGCCCTGCATTGTAGAAACTACTACACCTAGTCTCAAAGGTATACATATGCCTTGCATTATTATAGAGTTAAGTTAAAAGAAAGATTTGTACCTGAGGAGGTTGCTGGGATATATACCAGGGTGTTATTGACTCCGTCGATTAAGACAAACAGTTGTTGATTAGAAAGAGGAAGTCACCTAAAAAAGTTTCTCATGCGCGCAAACAGATAATTCTTAGTTAATGAGGAAGCTGTCCATGACTTCAAGACTGATTGTCGAAGTTGTGGATTTCTGAACACTAGCCAAAGGATATTAGGGTCCTAGTCCTAATAGGTACGAGGAGCCTCATATGTTAGAATTAAAAATAAATGGTCAGTACTGGGAGCGAGTCTCGAAATGAGATGGTTGATATGTACCCATCTTAAACCCATTACACGAATACCATGCTGTTTTGAGAAAAGAAAAAAAGGAAATGGTGAGTCCAGTCTTCAGGGTTTGGGCCCAGGGGGCCGAGAGAGGGCAGTCTTGAATTGGGCTGAACCTATTCGTGCGCGATCCACCGCTTAGGCCACTCCTGAGTTCTCAACTACTACTGACACCGACTTCAATATTTAGCCAACAGATGCTTGGATTTTCAGCTTCTAGTTTCTTCGGCAATTCAAAGCCCATTCTCACATTACGTCATGCACCTATATATCTGTCTATTTAGGTCTTGCTTAATATTTCTTATGATTTCTCTGTAAACAAAACAGAACCTAATGTTGTCATATTGCACCCTCTGTAAACGCGACTTAGGGCATCTCGATCACGTGATATTGCAAATGTTAGTTCTCACTGAAGTTTTAGCACCTGAAGAATAAAAGACGTGGCCTTGAGGACTGTAATGGCTACGTATATATTGTAAATACAAAGTCAATACCTCGGTAGAGCGTTATGTTATTTTCAACTCGCTTGATCAAGATGGGACACTTCTTTTAGAGGTATGCATAAAGGAAAACACCAGAGATGGGGGGAAAAAAGTGAACAAATCTACCGACAAGAGTGCGTAATTCTTGACAGCAACTTGTGGTCCGGGTCCTTTTCGCAAAATCCAAACCTCAATAACGCTTTTCTCAACACACCCTGACCACCCGCCAATCCAATGAACAATACACATACCAGAAGCAGAAGACACAAGATGAATACCAGCAGCAATACTGGTGTTGTTGTCACGGTTCACTACAAACCGTCTATTGTTAACGTCGCCCCATTCTGAAGACCTGCTACTCAAACATAAGATCCAACAACCGGCCAGGCGACTACACAGCACTTAGTTGATGCAACCATACGGAGTTCTCACACTTGTCATACGCAAATTGTCTAGTTCCTGGCAAATTATGTATCTAGTTACTTGAACTTGTTTCTCTATGTTATGTCTCCGCTATCTCTACTACAAAAGTTGACATAATTTAATAAAGGGCCTCCGAGTTATGATCGATTACAGATTGCAAGGACTGAAAATGGTAAAGAACGACGATAATGAAGATTTAGGGGAATTGCCAGTACGCTGGGGAATCTTATTCGCGGCAAAAAAAGGATGGGGAGCTTAAAACAGCCCTTCGGATGGCCAGTCCAACGGTCCCTCCAACTCATCGAAAAGACCCAAGGGATCCACAGGGTCCCAGACCACATTTTCAGACTCACGCCCATCGTCAATCATGGCAGCCTTCTCTGCCAACGGGGAGGTAAGAGCTACAGCGGGCGAAACAAGAGTAGGGGAAGGCACAGTGGGACGGGAAGTAACAGTGGAAGGCACGGTCCCAGAGGCAGGAGAGTGAGGGCGCGAGTCAGCGGGCCCGGCGGCAGATGAGTCGTCTAATGTCGACGACTCATTGCCCTCATCAGTGGGGACAGCAGCGGCAGCGGAAATCTCTTATATATTGTTAGCATCCAATCATCAAGAAACGTCAGTGCGACGCATACTCTTGCGCTTGTTAGCCGTATGTCGACCGGGCTTACGGTGGGTCCGCTTGCGCTTTGGGGGGAGATCGGGGTCGTATGTGCCAGGGGGGACAGGAGGCTTTGTAAATAGAATGTAAGCTTAAACCAAATTATACACGAGATAGATGGCATGACAATCAGGATGTTCGACAGGTTGAGACTGTCGAAGATAGGAGACTTACAACTTCTGCTCCCTGCTTTCGCAGGATACGTCGTAAACATGCGTTCTGCTTCTTCTTCTGGGGGGTCTCCCCGGTGGATGTAGGGCCTTCCATGTTGATGGGTTTTGGTGGGTAGTGGTTGTATTGATGAAATGTGAATGGGATGAGATGCGAAGAAGAGAAGAGAAGAATAGAAAGTTGCTACGCGTGGGGAGTTTCGAAACACGAGCAGCTTCCTCATGGACTGAGACCTCTTTGATTGTATATGTGGGAAACTCTTTAGGTGACTCCTGTCTCCTTTCCAATCAAGAATTGGTTGTATCAACCGATAGAGTCAGTATGTATTAGCGTAATATTTCTCAGCGACCTCTTCAACTACAATTATGTCTTTATCCAACCTCTATAAGACTGCGAAGCATAAGTCAAATTTCGGGATTGAGTGCTGTACTTCTTACAAATGAGAGCTATAGACGTGTTAACAAAGGACTTGTCACAAGCCCATATGGGAAGATCCTCAAAGATAACCAGCCTTTGAACAAAAAGAATGATAGATAAAGGGGAATGGAATTTGATTGGACGCATGACTTCGGGCTACACTAGAAATAAGTCTTGTCCCGATGGACAAGGGTCATGGTTTCTGCAGGGCCAAAGTCAGCCTCGGCATTGTCTTCTCCCATCTCCTCATCCTCCCATCTCTAGTACGGTACTCTTCTCAAGAGTTATGGGACGGGTGTCAGCGGGGAGAGAGAAGCTTGCAGCTGCGGGTCCCTCTCCGGCTTGCTCAGCAGCCTGCTCAGCGGCTTCATAGGCAGCTTCTATTGGCTGTTAGTATTGGACTCGGTATCAACATTTGTATGCACAGCAAAGAAGGCAAAATGGGCTTCGCCCACTACACACGTCCGCGACCTATTTAAGGATTTCGATCCCGCACTCGTGGCCGCCTGCGACAGCATCGACTCTCGTATGGTATGGATTCTAGAGAAGTACACCAGGGAACTCGACACACCTGAGGCCCACCAAACCCTACGTACCTACAGTGACAGCTTGGAGAAATGCCACGCATACGATGAACACATGAACGCTAGCGAGAATTAGATCGCGGCCCTGGGCAACGTCCTTACTAGGCATATGCTCACAGGTCTGCTGGATGACGCGCGTACCCCCGCTCAATGCGGACGAGGAACAGGGCCAAGACGTCACCAACAAGGCAAGGAACCTAAGAAACATCAGTTGAAAGAGATTATGCCCGTGAGACCGCGGCGTTGAAATCCGCCAGGAAACAGTTGCGAACAGAAGAGATTGAGAGTTACGAAGCAGAGGAGATTCGCCATTCCCCTGTTAGTTTCGTCATCTTTTTTTAAAAAAATAATAATCGACAACAGTGTGGCAGTCACCTGGTAATACGTCTTAAGATGGGTACATGTCAATAGTCTGTTTTGGAACTCGCTCTTGAGGTTGGTTATTTCATTTTAATTCCAATTCCAATGTATGAAACAAGTCATACAGCACATATTAGGACCAGGATATCTCAAGATCCCATGACACCGAGAGCCCATCCAACTCTGATTGGCCCTGTCTCGCTCAATTTACGGTCTATCCAGTCACGCCCACACTCGAAAATCAACATGCCCACCACAATCGAAGAGACTAATACAACACATGTACAAAAATTATATAGATAAATAAAAATATAAAGGATAAGTGTTGTTTAGCAGACAGGATGTTCTAGACATCTCATACATATATATGTAGGATCTGATCGTTGTTGCATGGAGATTCTGCATCTCTGAATATAGACCACAGACCTAGAGAATTGCCTGGAGATCAAACAAACCCAAAATCGAACATGTATCTGATCAATTCTACCTTACTACCATACTATCTATACGTGGAGTCCACTCGCAGTTCCGGATGCATATCAACTTAGGGCACGAGTATCCACATGAGATCGACATGCACTTAAGAACCAGGGTCTTGATAGACTTGCAGGGATATAAACGCGAAAAAAGCGACGTATACTTCATTGATCTGAACTCGAAATTCCACTGAACCCTCTATTTTGGTACAAACCCCAAAACCAACCAAAAAAATTCAACAGATACCCCTGTCCATACTAAAGTGTGGCTTTATGCGGCATGGTGGTTCCCGATCACGTGGGAATTCGCCTCAACCTCAACCAGTGGTCGACATGCAATTTTTTTTTCCCGAGGGGCAAATAAAATCGCCGCTATATCATTCGAAAACCATACACTGTACGTACCCGTGTACCCTGCCTCTTAAAGTGTAGGTGGTCAATCCCCGACACGAAACGCATATCGCAACCCTCAAAGGCCGACAATCCCCAACCACATCGGCAATCAAAGGAACGCAGATCAAACATCACCATACATCCCATCCTTTATATTTACCCGAAAACCACGTCGCCCGAGTCCACCAAGTATCGGAGAAAATGTTCGAAGACTTCTCCTTCACCTCGCCGTCCTCGCGACCCTCCCGCCTGGCCCTCGACGCCGACGACCGCCTAATGGTCGACAGCGACAGCAATCTAATATCTCCCCTCTCCTCGCGCTGTCCATCACCACAATCGCAACGCTTCCGCAACATCTCACGCTCACGCTCCCACTTCCACCGAAACCAACAACCCCCAACATCCGTCCCCTTCCCCTATGACTCAGACCACAGACGCCTCTCCATCTCAACCCTAACCCAAAAACTCCACGAACACACCCTGGCACCAACAAACAAACTCCAATCCCAGCAGCCCCAATCCCGATCCCGAGACGGGAGACACACCCCGGCTCGCGCCGGTACCCAGGCGTTCGAACTGTCCTCACACCCCCAGACACAGACCACTCCGACGACAGCATCGGCGACTGTTACTCCTCCCCCTCCGCCTCATCAACAACAAGCCCAACCTTTAACCCCCCGGACCTGCTTTCAGACCTACCAGACTTCGGCCTCGGCCATCCCCTCTACCCGCAGCCGCAGCCGTACCACCAAGACGTGCGCATGCAGCGCCAGCAGATCTCCAGATTGCAATGCAATGAGTCGGAGGTGGAGGCAATGCAGCGCTCGTTGCTAGATGAATCGTCTCCTATTTCTGGGGACTTCTGTGACGAAGACGATTGTCATCCTAGTTCGTTGCCGCCGCGGTCGTCGCCGCGGAGGAAGGCGGTCACGCTTGCGAGGAGTCGGTTTGGGCCTGAGGGGGGTGCGGAAGGGAGACGCAGGAAGAGTTCTTCTGGGGCTGTTTTGGCGAGTCGGGTTGAGAAGAGTCATTATGGGGCCTTTACGGGGAAGAGGAATGAGCAGGGGCTTAGGAGGAAGAGTCTTGTTAGTGCGGCTTTGGCGTCGATGGTTGAGAGGGATGATAATTGAGTGTGTTGGGTTTAGATTAGTGCATTCCATGGATTGGAATTGTATATACACGATTTTGATACCCTTATAAACATTCCTTCCATTGAGATGATCGTGCGACTAGAATGCTGACCATTATCGAACTAGCATTCTGACATATTCTTTAGTTGTAGTTAGTATGTTCCTGGTTATATGCATTAATTGTAGCCGTGATCGTTGCTGATTATTGAATTCAATTTACAAAGGTTAATGCTAATCCAAGACGCAATTGATAATAAAGCCAGAAGTTGAAAACGACCGGAATGTTGACAATCATCAAATATGAATTGATATGGATACAATATGAGTCTCAGACTCAGAATAGAAAAAGGTAATAAAAAAGTAATAAAGGCCGAGGGAGAAAGAAGCCCTCCAAGAGAAGAAAAGAAACAAAAGAAAAGAATCAAGAGCTGTGTCCAGCCAGTCCATCCAACACCCAAGCGCCACGCTCTTGATAATCACAATAGACGTAGACGTAAATTACAACCGAATTCCCGGTTCAAGTCACACACACACAGCCAGCTGCCGATTCGCAGAATCCCGGGAGTACCAGAAGTTCACAGAACTCCCTAACTCCCATGCTTCCAACTAAAGAACTTCCTCAACCCCTTTCTCTGAGCCGATTTCCTCTCATCACTCTTTCTCCGCTGGAACTCAAATCGCGGACTGGTCTCGCCAGTTCGCGCCCCTCGCTGCAGCTCATCCAGTGCGCGTGCAGAATTTCCCCGCAACCCCATCGTCTCGGCGTTCGCGGCTGCGAGGACGGACTGGACGTGTGGGTCGAGGTACACCGGGTCGTAGGTATAGGGATCGAAGGGGGCGGAGTAGTGGGGGAGTTTGGAGGTGGACATAGAGGTTGGGTAGGGGTAGGCGGAGTCGAAGGAGGAGTAGATTGGTGATTGCATGGGCGAGCCACTTGGTGTGTCGAGGGGGCTTTCGCGGGGTGTTTGTGGTTCGGGTTCTTGTGAGGATGAGAAGTCGTGGTGGCCGGGTGTTGTTGCGTCTTCTGGTAGGTCGAACAGGATGCCTCTGTCGCGGTCGTCGACTTGGGCCCAGTCGCCGTTGGCGTAGACGGGGGAGCCGGGTTCGCCAATCTCACTCTCTGAGTAGAAGGTTTGCGTTGATGGGGTGGAGGATCGGTGGGTGAAGTCTAGGTTTGGGAGGTTGGATTCCTCCGTGATGGAGGTCATGTGTGGTAATTGCGGGGAGTCTCTGTCACTGCTTGGGTGGTTGTGTGTATCGATACGCAGATCGTGTTTTTCAGTTTGCTGTACAGGTCGGCTCCAGTAGTTGAAGCTTTGTTCATTGATAGAGTAGTCTGATAGAGACCGGACGCGGTCATGGATTCCCGGGGAAGACGACGCCATGTCCGTCGGTTGACCTTTTAGTGTTGGCAGATCGGCTGGGACGGAGGTGTACAACGATTTGGTTGAGCAAAATGATGGCAATGAGGCATCGGTGAATTGGGACAGGGACACCCGGTCCAGTCCTTGCTCGATGGAGAAAGTAGAGTCTCGCTGATTGTCTGATGAGACCACGGAGCAATTGTCGACGTCTTCAATGTATGAGACGATGCGTGCTAGATCCAGCGACTTGCGCGGATTCAGGATCTCAAAGCAAGCACCACCGTGCGAGACGGTGGCCACGGCCTGCGTACTGGCCAGCATCGAGTCCGAGGATTGAGTTTTGGAGGCACGCTCAGCTTCTTCCGCTTGCGCCTGGGCCCTTTGTTGAAGCTTTTCACGAAAGGTATTCTGAAACTTTTATCAGTGAGTTGGCTCTTTCCTGAGGTGTTTCAAGTCTACTTACCAATCGCTTCCTATTAGGTCTAGCACGAGTCCCGAGATCCGAGACAACAGGTATTCGTGGGCTTTGGGCGGCTTGGTAATGAACTATTGAACTGTCAATCAAGATTGCCGGAGGTTTAATCGAAGAAAGTCAATTGAAGAAGCTTACCAGTCTGGGCTTCCCCGAGCTCAGGCTCTTCACTCCACTGGGAGACGATGCTGTGGGAGTAGGACGGAGAGAGCGGCGGAGGACTTGATGCCACGGAGGATATAGATACAGGATAAGAAATGGGAAGTGCGGACGGGCGATTCAAATGCAATGCAGCAGTCTTGCGCTTCAACTTCTTTCCTGTCTGATCGACAGGATCGCCAATGCGGTCTGCAGATTTGGAGAGAAACTTGTGGTAATCGTGGATAGAAAGGACCCCCGTGATACGAGATTTGATGGATCGAGGGGGGAGGGACAAAGCGTCTGCCGAGTCTACCGAAAGGGGTTTGGAGAGAGAAGTACATGCATGACGGTCATGTATCTCGAGACATTTGTGGCAGATGGGGCTGTCCAGCAGCTCACCGTGCCATGTATCATTGGCAGCGGAGTAGAAGTTTTCGTTCATTTTTTGCCAATTGCGAATCTCATTGCTGTGAAGTTCTGTTCTCGGATTCTGTTCTCGGATTCTGTTCTCGGACCGCCGGTTTAGGTTGTCGACATATCCGATGTAGTAGATCCAAACCCACTTCTCCACACCGAACTTGATTCGTCAGACGCCGCAAGGGATAGAGATACGGTCGCAAGAGATGAATCACAAGACTGCAAGGTAGAAATAAGAGAATATAAACCAGGACGAACGGAATGTACCTGGATATACAAAGTATCCGTTTTTTTATCCATGAAGTAACCAGTCCAGGCAAACTCGAACCAAACGGGGAAGCCGACTAGGCCGGTCCAATTAGGCTCATTAGAAGTAGAAGAGAAAGAAAGAAGGTCCAGACCAGTTGGGGAAACCCATGGTTCGTCAAGCCAAGGTGGAAAAGTCGGTCAAGATATTGAATCTGGTCTTTAATATACAATGTGATTCAAAGGGATGCCCAAATCACTTGCAGATGATCTCAGCCTCGATCTACAGGGCATTTTTAGTGACTTTAGTGACCCTCTAGTCTTTAGTGCCCACCCTCCCGTTTCCATCTCCAACCAATCATCCACCTCAAATCCACATCTCATGAACGCCTCTCTGAGCCCAGAACCAGTCGTATAGAAGAAAGCCCTGAGCGGCTGAGGACCTAGTAATCCACCTTTGGGCTGTGGCGGTTGTAACACGCATGATTGGCCGGTTCAAACACAGTGGCGATAAGAGAGATTTTTCGTCTCCACTGCCAACATCATGACTTGGTCATTCTCCCAGTTCTTCGGTACGGTGATGCACCGTTGATGCAAGGTCATGTGATTCTGGGTTGGGCCGGATTACTTTTTTTTTACTCTTTTCCCTTCCGTGGTCGGGCATCTCGTACCTGGAATAAACAAGGCACGCATGCATATGCCAACTCATATGTAATATCCCAAGGTAATACGACTGCAACCCCCAGGTTTGTGTGTTTCACATGCATGATGCATGCAATTTAAACGGATTTCTGCCTTGCTGCCCCAGGTGATCCATACTTCGCAATCTCCGGGTTTACTGATACAGAATGGGTGGCAAACTACCCAAAGGAGTATACTCGGACCGCGTTACGAACTGCGATCGGTATGCCCCTGCTGCTGGTACTTGGTGGATCCGTAGAAATCGATCTGGATAAAGATCCCCGCTTGATTCAACAAAACTCCCAGATCATGCAGAAGCTCAAAATGACTTGAAGTATCAAAAAAGAGAAAGAGCAATTTAAGATGCGCTAGTGATGTGGTATCGAATGAAGAAAAGGGAGGAAAAATGAACTCAGAAAACGAAAGAAATCAAAAAGGAAAAAAAGAAAACAAAAGGGACCGACCATGCACGTATGTACCTAGTATGCAAGGTCCTGTAGATCTCAAGTCCACTCTCAGTACCGTTTATATTTCTAAAAAAAACATGAGTCAGTCACAGCCACAACCAAATATGGGAAACACGTACGTCTTCCATCTTGCGCCGATTGCTCGGGTCAAGGGTATTTCCCGCACCAAGCAGAGTTTGTCCCACGGCCTTGGACACTCCAATAGCGGGTCGGAGGATGACCGTGGGCGCACGCTTCCAGACGGCCTTTGCGGCAGCCTTGGCGCTCCCACTCTCAACCACCTCGCCAGGTACGGCGACGATCGCATCGCGTGCCAGGAGCAGGTCGCGCTCGAGGCCGCTGAATGCCCCACGCAGTCCCTGTACTACCCCGACCGGCTGATCGGCGTACAACGAGATCTTTTTTGCTTCGTCTTCGTCGAGGGAATCGTCGTCAAAGGCGGGTGCGTTGGGGGTCAGTAGGTCCTCTGCGCCTTGGAGGACGGTTTGTGTGCCGATGGCGAGTTTGGCGCCGAGTTTGACCAGCTCGTTGGAGGTTGTTTTGGCGAAAGCCAAGGCGCCCTTTTGGATGCTGCGCACGATTCGGCCGTCCTTTCGGTACTCGCGCATCGGGACGACGACCAGGTCGCGCACGCCGCCACCCACGTTGACAAGGGAGCGGATCGGCGCAAGACCGGCAAGCACACCGGGCAGTTGGTTCTGTTTGACATCTGGCATCCAGATGTCGTTCAGCGTTTGACCCATCCGATCGAATCCGGACACTCCGTAGATGATCACATGTCGTAGCACCATGTCGGCGCCATCCAGGATGAAGAAGTTCATAAACTCAGTTGTGCGGCCGGACCGGAGTCCTGCGTAGTCAACCCGCTTAGGTTTGAAGTCTAATTTGACTTGCACGGCGTTGATCTCTACTCGCTGCAAGAATGGAACGTCGCCCGGGGTATCTGATGGTTTGGCGGACTCATCTCTAAACTCGAAGAACCGACTCATAAAGTCGAGAGCATCTTGGTCAACATGCAACCGGAGGGGTAGAACTGTGGCCTAGGGGTCAAGTTAGAAACTGGTGCTGAGTAATGGACGACTTGGGTAACAAACTTTGAGAACAATCTCAGATGCAGCTAGCTCAGGCACAGGTCTCACAGTCAGAATTTCAAGGTGAACCATGCTTGTCCCGCTCTCCTTTTCGCCAGCCTCCCGCATGTATGTTGCGAACTTCTTCCATGTAGATGTTGGAACATGGTCATAGATTTCCAGATCCTTGACCCGCACATCTAACGAGCTCTGCGTCTCTTCTGAGCCCGACGGGAAGATAATCAGATCGGCAGAGACACCCTTCAACTCAAACGTCATCTTGTGGTGTTTGCTCCGGTGCAAGCGTAATTTCTTTTCCCTCTTAGCGGTAGATCGGCCCTGGTGACTCCCAGCCCCAGTCACGGTAGTGGTCGTTGCATAGCTCCCGGTCTCGCTGGTGAAATCATCGATGTCATGATTGATCTCGCGGTGAAGTTCCCGTGGATCCTTGTTGGCTGGAATACCGATGTAAATGGAGTTGAAGAGGAAATCGCCAATAACAGACTCCTCTTCATCTTCTGCAGAAGCTGACATCCGCGAGCCCCTGGAACGGCGTTCTGTGGCTTTGGTTTCTACATCCTTGACGGCTTTGGATATTGTGTCACGGGTGCGCTGCCAGTCATATCCATCAAAGAGATTCCAGATGAAATGCACGTCCCGAACGCGCACACGCAAAGGACTCCGCTCGAGCTTCGTGTCGTTGGTGAGGCCGTAGGTGTTCTGAGTAGAGTCCCACCGATGAGCAGTTCCACCCACAGCTGATTTCTTTGCGAAATGATCCTCCTGGAAGTCCAATTCCGTCATACTGGAAGATACTTGGTATTGGGAATGGAAGCTGTCCAGCAATTCATTGGAGCCCACTTCCATACCTTCAATGCCCACACCACCAGAGCCGCCCTTTACGGGATAGAAATCGCTGACATATTCAAGTTCGTCGGTCAGCTGATCTCCACTAGATGATTCTTCGGAGATAGTTGCCAGATCATTATCATTGGGGAGGGTGGGATTAGCCGCAAATGCGTCCCCGGTGAACGAGGCAAACATATCTTGGATGGGCATCACCTCTGTTCGATATTTGACATCGACGCTCGGTGGAGTTGGAGGCTGGAGTCCATTCATGATGCTGATGAGCGTCTGGGTGGAATCCGCGCAGGTCTCAAGGATCAACAGATCATCTCTCAGCTCTACGTCCAAAGACTTTGTTCCATCCTCAGCGCTGGTCAGCTTGACACTAGCGGTGGCCGATGAGATGGAAGAAACAGGCACATAGCCTTTATCAATATACGCTTGAGCCTGGGTGTCTTGGGGAACGACTGATGCACGCTGGTGCAGGTTATAAGCACCCTCATGGTACACGTCGTCGATGATCATGAGCGAGGCTTTCCTAATATCCAACGATGCTTCCGCGGATTCTCCTCCATACATACTTCCTTCGAATTTGGCATTGGTGAGGACTGCAAGGCCTTTTGCAGGAGAATTGCGAGGGTTTAGACCGAGAACACAATCTCGGAATACAACAGCCAATTTGACTGGCTTTGTCGAGGAAGTGGATTCATTCGACATTGGTCGCCCTGTCATAGAAGATGAGGGGATTGAGTGCTCTGCAAGGTTGGCGATAGAGTTGACCATACTACTGGCCAACTCTCCGCTCATCTTGTCGCCACCCAATCCAAGGAAGGCTGTCACTGATGGCACCGTGTACTCAATAAGGAGATTGTGCAGTTTGACCTTGTAGGTAGGATCCATCTCATCGGGTATGAAACGAGCCATGAGGACCGGTGGATAGGACTGGTCTGGATCCTGAGATTTGTTTGGCGGCCACAGGGCATGCCCCACCAGCTCTTCGTCGTTATTCCGACTGACGGTCATGCTTCCAATCTGGGCCGCAGTGAGCGAAGGCATGGTGATGTGTGCAACTTCAATATCGATAAGTTGACTTTGGATGTCCCCAACCTCTCCACCGATGTGGACGTGCCCTTGGAAGTCACAGACCAGTACCAGGGTGAGGATACCAGGGCGATCATCTTCTGGCAAATACTTGGTGACATTGGAAAGCCGACTCAGCTCAACAGCAAGAGACGAGAGAGGCTCTAACCCACTGGTGTCTGAAATGAACGTTTCCAAGCGCCCCACTGTCACGCGAAGAACAGATCCTTGCCGTCGCTGGCGCAATAATGTGTCTAGCATGATATCATCTTCCGCTTCGAATTTGTCCTGGGATGGGGTAATCAAAGTCAAAAGACGATCGAGGTCAACCTCCTTCGGGGCGAAAAGGAACTCAAGGCGGATATTGTTCAGGGTGATTTTCGCGGGAGCATCAGCTGAGGCATCATCAATTGAAAGGGGTCCAATCATTTTCGCCTTGTCTATTTGAATACCAATCCCTTCAAACCTGCTGACAATTTTGACGGCGGTCGTGGAGATTTGAAGGCAATGTGCTTCTCCAGTAATATCCAACAGGATGGCACCGAGTCGGGCATTGACTTTCCATAGGGTTGACGTGCCCTTGGTCGTGTCAACAGCCGGGGCGGGTGTCTCAAAATGCACACCGCGGGGGCGCTGTTTGGAAGGTGGCGGGCAGCCTTTGACTGTAGACACAGATGACATGGAACTGCCAAGTTCAAGAATGGTGCTCAGGCCACCCATCCAGCCTAGAACCTCTTCCAGACGCTGTATATTGAGATTGATGTGAAGAGGCAGCGTGGAGATGTCAACCTTGGCCAGACCTGCCGACTTGGCCAAAGAGATAGAGATATCTCCTTGCGAAGGGGATAAAACATCACGCGTAGATTCACGCATCTTCAATCTTTCATCAAAAAATATGATATCCTCTGAGGCGAACCCGAATGCAAACTTGGACACGTCGAAATTCAGCTTGGTAGCTGTACTTTGAGCCGAAAGGTGAGCATCCAGGCCAGATAGAGTAAGACGAAGAATCACATCTTCCATGTTGTAGGGAGGAAAAGAAGGTGAGTCGCTATTGTCGGACGAATAGACATGCCCCGAAACACGTTCGATAAATTTTACTGAAAGCGCATGGACGATAAGATGAACAGGTGGCGTACGCGCAGGTTGGTCCTTTCGCGACTGCTTCTCAAACGGATCTTTTTCAGCCGTACCAAGAGCATGAGAGAGTTTTTGTCCTATCTTGGTGAGAAGCCAACCAATTGCAATATCGAAATGTACAAAGGCAGAGAATATTTCCACGGCAATTTCAGGTAGTTCAGTCCCAGCACTTGGCTGAGCCCGTGGCTCATCAGAGCCTCTTCCGAACCTCGTGGATTTGTAGGCTCTAGAGGCAAGTAGACTTTCTTCAGGTGCAGAGTCCCCGAAGCTAACTGTGGATTCATCTAGGTCACTGTCTTTGTTCTCTTTTTGTGGGATAGACGACGGCTCGGCTGACCCTTCTTCGTCGGAATCAGGGGGCGAGAACCACAGCAAAATCTTGTCAATATTCAACACCGACTTTCTCATTTCATTGCTTCTGTGCAACCCAGGAGAGAATGGAGTTGAAGGTCTATCCTTGTGCAATGTCTGAGATTGGGCTTGACCGTCCAAATCATGCTGGTCTGTTATGCCGTCTTCTGATGGGCCTGTATAACTTGAATCTGCTTCGTCTTGAACTTGGCTGGACTGTGCCAGATCAATAGGTGCAATGCTTTTAGATCGGTCATCAAAGGCACTTCGAGACTTTGATGCATCACCAAACGAGCCCCATGCGCCTGGCATGTGGGGCATGAAGCTCCCACTCGCATCCTGGCTAATAGCACTCATGTAAAGACTTTGCGCTTCATCGTGGGAGAAAAGCTGAGACTCGTTGAGATCGGCATTTGGGGTTCCGTCTCGGGAGCCCGTGCTGTCAGACTCTGAGCGTGGAGGAGATGTACTGGAGGGATGGGACGATACGTTCAATTGTGATCTTTCATTATGTTCATTTTCGTCGTAATCATTGTAATGCTGCGGGGGTTGCGTGATTTCGTCAATTTCAGGGCTGATTTGGCTGTGATGTGTGTCGTAAGTTTGGGACATATGGTGGGTATCGGAGCGGTTTAATGGCTCGTCAGGGTATTCGGCCTGTGAGCTTTGATGCAAGCTTTGTGGGCCACCAGACAAGTGGCTTCTCCACTCACTCCCGACCCGTCGGTCTTCTTGTGGATGTATTACCGGTGACTGCTCATCATCAAAATCATCGAATTGAGTGTCAATCACCGAGTCTAGGTACCCTGGGTTGTCTTGGAAGGGGTCATCGCCAAATATTTGAGAATCCTCCAGATATCCACCTCGGTGACTACCTGACTCAGAGTCGGCGTCTGAGAATCGACCATCGCGGGAAAATGTAGAAGCCTCTAAACTGTCTGCGGTGGTACTTAAATGGCCGAAAGTTTGCGGCGGCTCGAAAATAGTTGATTGGGTCATCGAAAGAGGTTCTTCGATGGAGCGATCCAGTGGGGATGGTGATGGCGCTCTGCTTGACAACTGGCTCCCTTTTGACCGCATAGTCGTCGACGGAGATGGAGGGGCGGCAAAACGAGAGTAGTTCGAAAACACCGATGGGTCGGAAACCAAACCAACATTGATATCGACAATTGAGATGAGCCGCTTCCCTTGTCGAAAAGGAAGACCCTCCGGGCCAACGGTTTTATCAGATACCCCGTGTACATCGATTTCGCCGATGCTCAACAGACCTGCGACAAGATCCGGCTTATGTTCCGGTTGCCGTTTTGACATTCCATCTTGCTTCAACTCCATGTCCACGCGCACAACTGCATCTTTTATCTTGAGTTGGAATCGATCCACAACGCCTTTCAAGAACCCGGCCACAAAGCTCGGCAGTGATAGAGTCTCACTCCCAAGACCGAGCTCGTCATTATCATCAACAGACCAGGCTAACGGGTCGTGGGGCAGGACTTGCGACTGCGACGATATTGCGGCTTGTAGCTCTTCCCTTTCCTCCTTTGGCTCGGACTCAAGGAATGACTCCGCAAGATCAGACGGTGTGGGCACCGCCGAAGAATCATCCTTGTCGCCTTTCCCTTTTCCGTGTTGTCCCTTTTCCGGCTCCTCTGACAATAACCGGATATGTACGTCGATGCCGTTTGCCTCACAAAGAATACCGCTATTGTGGAAATCGGCAGGAAGCGTGATTCGAAGAAGCTGAACTCGGGCGCTGAGCAGCACGCACGACGGAGAGAGATTGAGTAAGGTCGATAATTTCTATCGCGCAGTGTAAATAATTAGCCCGCACTACTCCATGGGTCGCGTTTGATGATCACGAAAGACCGCCCCGCCGCCCGCGGAGGGTCACTGCATCCACTCACTTCTAATTTGAGGCCAATATCCCTCAACTCGATGGTAGACCGTTGTCCCCAGCGGATGCCTAAGTTATCTAGGTCCAAAGCCTCTGTGTCGACCAGGCCCAGACGAGATAGGGCGTATTTGAGGAGCCGCTTCTGGAAGAATGATGGCATGAAGTACGATGCCATCGTGACTGTGAGCCAGGACAGGGCTCGTTTATGTGCGGACTCGTATCATCGAAAATAGCTTGAAAACAATAAAGCAGCCAGCTCCGACAAAGCGGAGTGGATGAGTCGTGAAGAGGGGGGGGGATGTTCAACAATGACGTTCCGGCACCTGATAAAGGCGATAAGTGACCCGAGTCAGGCGCCGACGTGCCAACTCACCGATTGACACCAAATTAGACCAATTATCTTCTTATTGACTTGTGATATATCCCAAATAATTTCAATAATTACAAAAATTGGCTTACACCAGTTGGACTATTGCCAAATGGCTTTCGTGTTCTCATATCCTTTCCTAACTTACTATGTAGGTATGCGACTCGTATATTGTGATCAACATGAGATCTTCAATCATCCCCAGCATCGTATTCAGCAAACTCCAGCACAATCCACTCGCAGAATTTCTCGAAATCCAAACCAAAATCCCGCAGACGATCAGATTTCAATCCCTTCCCGATGACCCCATTTTGAATGCCAGCTTTCCAGTCGGCGGTCGACTGGTCTTCATAGCAGCTCCACCGGATAGAGTTCTGGGCCATCATTGATAGGCCGACCAAATCCACATTTTCGAGTCCCTGCAAAGCCTGCCAGAAATCGTGCGTCAATCCATTCCTTCCGTGGCCAAGAATGGCGGGGTCGTCATTGCACAGCGACACGGGGACACCTCTGGACAATAGTGCGGGCAAAGGATGGGATTTGATGGAGCTAGCAAGGCGGAGCACTTCGTTCGAGATTGGGCAGCATTCAACGAGGATCTTCTTCTCTTTGACTAAATCAATGAGCAGAGGATGCTTGTAAAGCGAGAACCCATGGCCGATTCGCCGGGTGCCAAGAAGGATGGCATCGAATAAGTTGTGATCTGTTGCGTCGCCGTCGCCAAGACATTCTCCAGCGTGGAAAAAGAAAGGAATATCGACATCTTCTTCCGCACATTGCTTTCGGAACCAAAATAGCACCGGGACATGGTCGACTAGTGGCCTCCCGTTATCCTCTTGGCCAACAAGATCAAATCCACAGATCAGAGTGGGGAACTCCTGCTTCGTTTCGATGCACTGCTTCATGCTCTTGACAACCGCCTCATTAGAGAACCACCGGAGCGTAGTCCAAATGATGCGAGCATCGTAGAAGTCCTTCCCTTCATCTGTCTGTTTGAACTGAGCAATGCCATCCTCCACCACACGACACCACTCAAAGTAGTTTTCTTCGGGTTTGTCATTTCCTTCTTTCCGGAACTCGAAAACAAATCCGATGCGGAACTCCACATATCGAATTCCATCCTGAGCAAGCTGTCCGAGCAACCGGCGGAAACAGGCACGGAAGATAGGCTCGTACATCAAAAGAGAGTCGACAATGGGGAAAGTATTGGTGAAGATAGACCAAATTGCGTCTACTCCATGGTGATGGTGATACGAATGCTCTGGCGCAAGAACACATCGATTGTGCAACCATTCTCGGAAGCCCTTCTCTCCCCCCTTGGGGTAAGAGGCGGCGGCCTTCTGGATTGAGATCAACGACGAGGCCTCGTATGTCTCCGACCAAATACTTGGCTTGTCCTCGGATATCTCTAGAGGCTGCGAGGAATATCGGAAATACACGGGCGCTTTTTCGTAATCCTTGGCTGTGAGCAACGGTTTCGGTGCGAACATGTGTATACCAGGCGTGGAGAATGCCTGATCAATCAGGAAGTCAATATCGAACATGGCGTCCATGTGGGCGTGCAGGAGGGACCCCTTTGGCATCTTTTCCACAATTTTCCATAGTTTGGTTTTCTCCATGCGGCCTTTGGCCAGATTGAACATGACACCGGGGTAGAGGATTTCATCTACTTGGTGAGCTATGTCATCGTCTAATCCATTTGTCCACACCTCATTTTGTTCCTGAGCTCGGATCTGCGATACGATCTTTGTCGCCCGGGCGGCGATAGGCGATAGAGATTTGCGCAGATTTGCATCTATAAAAAGTTAACGATGGTTTGTTTTAGTTGATTTGGGTGGAAAATACCATGACGTCGCTTTTGCTCTTCCGCAATTAAAGCATCGCGTCCTTTCAGATATTGTTGGATGAAGGGATCCCCAACCTGAGGGATACCTTCCTCTAATTCCCATTCATTCTCTGTCATTGTTGGAGATTCAAAATGTTGTAGAGTCGAGGTACGGCAGGCAGGCAGGTCGGGAGGGGAAAGATACGCTCCCCCGCCTTTAATCCGTTTTCGTCCTGGTTGTCTTGATTTTTCTTGATTGGCGCAAACTCGAAACAGTTTCAATGTAACATGCGGATGAGATGGCTAATTTACCCGCAATAGGGGATATCTCATAAGATATATCCTCTATCTCATCTTTTTCTCAAGTTTTTTGCTTGGTATGTCTCAACACGGCAAGTGTGACCCATGTGGAATGCCCTAGCCACATGCCTACCTGTCAACTCCACTTCCGCATCCCAAATAAAAACACCTAGTCTCCAATATGGTTGTATTCTTACCGAGCTGTAGTTAGGAATTTGCCTTTCATACGGTAGGATCCGAGCCCAGCTTTTATACCACACCAGATAGGCGTCCGGCCACAGCGAGACGAGATGCCACACGTCTATCACTATATCATCTGAAGGTGTTGGCATCGAAGGCCAAATTGCAATAGCCATACTCCCTTCGAGATCAAAGGAGTGGAAAGGGGGTGGTAGCGTCCCCGATGGATACCACCAGACTCCTTGTATCGGCTCCTCATGTTCACCCAGGTACGGGTAGGAGTAGATTGGACTCAAACCCAAGTCGGATATTACTGCGACAGTGGTGGAAATAACATTTGGCAGTCAAGCCTTCGATCTCGTTCCATCTGCGGTATTCTTTAACTTTTTTTCATGGAATGTTCAGGCCAATTGACGAGAAACTTTCTCGATGATCTCTTGAATAGGGGCGGCTGAGGATATCGAGTTCGATGCCACCAGCTCTTGAAATAATAGACCGGGTCGATCAAGGAAGACCGCATGCGCTCGGGGCGAGGCTGTCGGGAGGCTATTTATGCCCACGAAGTCCGCTGCGAAGAGGAGAATGTGGTTTATGAGTTCGGCGGGAAGTCGTTCAGAGGGATCCACTGCGAAGAGGTAAAAGAGGTCAGGGAGGAAGCTGAGGTGACTCTATACGAAGGAATGCCATATTTCACATTGTCATTCTCTCCTGTTAATGTAACCTCCTCTCTGAGCAGCCACCGGTAACTCAATTGACAGTGTTTTACCATCGCCGCTCAATCTCCATAGCAACTGCACCTGTTCACAGCATCGAAAATGTTCTAAAAAGCCGTCTCGCGCGTACACTTTGTCTCGAGCCGCAAATGCCCATCTCTCGCCCCTAGTGCCGATGATATCTTTGTCAAGAGCAAGTTGACACCCGGCACACAAAATTCCTTGTTCAATTTTACCGGGTTTTTAATAATAAGGGAGAAAAATAGGAAAGAAGATATCAATCAGTGTCACCAATAAAAAGTAATCAAGTCCGAAAGCTTGGCAAATCTGATAACTTTTCAGGATGTTTCCGCGTTTTCCGGTTGATGGAGCCAAGGGGTCCATAATAAATTTCCAAGCGGCCACGCAAAGCTTGGACTGACGTCGAAGTGAATAAGTCCGATGGGGTTCTTAACGAAAGTAACTGGATGCGGTAATGATCTCTAAGCCACTGGGGATCTGATTAGATCTTTGTCGCCAACCGACGCAGGGGGGTCCTGGCCCCAGTGGAGTTAGGGTCCACAGGCTGAGCGAATATGTTTGGACTACATTATATTTATACCACTGTATGTTGTGACAATTTCGATATAGGAGGAAAGGATTGTCATTTTGACCCACAGATGAGCGTTCAAAACACTGTTGGCCAATGTGCCGACCTCGCTGTTTTATGTGGGAATTCCGTGTCTTCTGTCTTATATTTTGCTTGCTTTTCCCTCGTGGGGTCAAAATGACCTTCGACATTTCAACCTGTTTGAGTCTTTGGAATTTTGTGTCTCCCCATTGCCATGACGCTTCGTCCATTGATACAAAGGGCCCGGTCAGTCTTTCATCGAATGAAAGTCGACAATGATGAGGCTGCGAGTTCGTCGGTCGATGTGGACAGAAACACAGTAGAGCCAGAGAAGTCAGATGGGTCAATAATCCATCCTGAAGAGGCACTTCCAAACAATGGCGCCGAGCTGCCTGGTGTGCCCTATGATGAGCTTCAACATGGTATCCAGGAGGTTGAGGCGGTAGCTCAGACCTGGTCCAAAGCGTCCTTGATCTTCGTTTTCGTTAAGTAAGTCAATTTATTTCTCGTTTGTGTACTATCGCTAATCATATACTTTAATAGTATGTGGTTCCTTTACTTCACCTATGCCTGGATTTCGTCGATTGATGGTAGCTTGAGCACTTATGTCGCTAGTTCTTTTCAACAACACTCCTTATCTGGTCTTCCTACCGCTATTGCAGATGCTTTCTCCGCTGCTGTCTTTCTTCCAGTGGCCAAAATGATGGACACTTGGGGTCGAGCCGAAGGCTTCCTAGTAATGTCGATTTGCGCCACCGTGGGCCTCATTCTCATGGCCTCTTGCAATAGCTTCCCTGTCTACTGCGCCGCAAATGTAAGGGAATATTCATGAATTATCAAGCGGGTGTTAATAGGAAATCTAGGTGTTTTACTACATTGGCTTTGGAGGCATGCGATTCGCTGTGGACGTCATGACTGCCGATCTCTCGCAGCTGAAAAACCGAGCTCTTGCATATGCTTTCACGTCTTCTCCATATATTATTACGGCCTTTGCTGGACCAAAGGTGGCGGATCTATTCTATGCCAATACTGGCTGGAGATGGGCCTATGGTACTTTTGCGATCATCTTCCCTATCGTGGCTGCTCCGTTGTTCTTCGTCCTAAAGTTCAATCTAACAAAAGCCAAAAAGGGAAATGCTGTGGTTACCAGAGAGAACAGCGGGCGATCTTTCCTTCAAAG